CCTGTGCTTGACTCTACACGGTGTCCATTTCTGTTCCTTCAGTATGCAATCAAAATCTATTTTTTGGTAAATAATTCATCTGTAATACTTTACAAACACATGCTACAGAAGGCATAGTGCTATTGATGCACCCACTACTACTTATTGTACAGGATGACAGAACTCATAGGATCAGTAACAAACACAGTGTAATAATCATGAATGTATAGCAAGCGCTGCAAAATTAATAGGTGCATTACCAGTTTTATATTCATAGATGTACACCAAGCACCACACAATTCCTAATTGCCCCCAAAACTTCAGGGCCAAGTGAAGCCCAGTCTACCACATCACATTACTCTGGCTGACTGTTAAAGTGCTCTTTCAAAGCCTCCTTCAGCTGCATAGCTCCACATTGAGCTCTTCTGATAGCCTTTGTGTCTGGCTGTTCAAAGTCTGCAGACAGCAGCTCCACCTCCACTCTGTCGGCAACTTTTCCCCCTTTGCCTCATAGATATTATGCAGGATGCAGCAGGCAGCTATAACCATTGGGATATTTTTCTCACTGATCCAATCTTGTAAGTAAACAATGCCAGAATCTGTTCAATCTACCAAAAGCACAGTCAACTGTCAATCTGCTCCTGCCGAGCTGGTAGTTGAATCTTTCCTTGGTACTATCAAGGTGGCTGGCCTATGGCATCAGGAGCCAGTGGAGGAAGGAGTAGGCTGGGTTCCAAAGGATCATTATTGGCATTTCAACTTGCCAGTGGTAATGCGCCAGTTGGGAAAGAAAGTGCCTGCGTGTAGCTTTCTGAACAGTCTTGTGTTCTTAAAGATGTGAGCATCATGCACCTTCCCTGACCAGCCAACATAGAAGGATACCCAGCGCTCCACTAAGGTTTGTATAATTTTAGAAAAGTAGCCCTTTCTCTTGATGTATTCTGTGGCAAAATGGTCTGGTGCCAAAATAGGGACATGCATGCCATCCATCATCCTACCACAGTTTGGGAACCCCATTGCTGCAAATTCATCCACTGTATCCTGCACATTGCTGAGGGGCGCAGTCCTGCATAGCAGGGGATGATTAATGGCCCTGCACGCTTGCATGACAATAGCTGCCACTGTGGATTTTCCAACTGCAAAATTATTTCCCACTGACTGGTAGCAATCTGGCATTGCAAACTTCCACAGAGCGATCGCCACCTACTTCTCTACTATCGGTGCAGCTGTCATTCTGGTGCCCATGTGCTCGAGGGCTGGGGCAAGCTCCAGGAATGTGGCTTTTGCATCCAAAAGTTCTGCAGCCACTGCATGTCATCCCAAACCTGCATTGTGATGCAATCCCACCAGTCAGTGTTTGTTTATTGAGCCCAGAGTGGCACTCCATCATATGCAGCTGTCCCATGAATGCCACCAACCACCTTGAATTATTTTTCGCTATGTCCCACAGCAATCTGTCCTCCATGAAATTGTTATGTCCCCTGCTCTGTGATTCCTCCTGAGGCTCTGCAAATATTGGAGGATTTTCATTCCATGTCAGCAACATTCATGACAACAGGGCAGAGATATGCGGGCTCCATGCTTCTGTCAGAAAACATGGACAGTGAGGAGGGCTGTGCAGGTTTGTGGAATTTTAAAAAAGGAGTGAAAATTATTGGAGATGGATGGCAGTAGGGGATGGAGAAAGTTGCATGATGGGATCTAGACCCTTTGCTCCCAGTGTCCCCAGGGGGATTTGTTTCTGCCCCAGCATGCATTGCCAAATTTTCCCAAAAGACAGTATGCTGGATGATGCAGGTTTCACATTGGGATACCTATCTGTTGTGCACCACACAGAGCATCAACACAAGCACTCCTGGTGACTATGCACAGTGCCGACACAAGGAGCCAAATATACACCTGCATGAGCAATATTCAAACTTTGGCAGCTGTATGCCAAGGTAATTTGCATCAAACGAAGTTTGTAGTGTAGCCAGGCCAAAGATAGAAGGGGAGATGGTGATGAAGCAAAGTGACACTGATCTGTAGTTGTGGATGCATACTGTGTGTTCCATCACATCCTTGACCTATGTTATAAGGATGCAGGCGATTCTGAGCCTGGATATTTCCCATTTTCCTAGCACACCTTGTGCTCATGTTTGGGAAGTGAAGTCCAGAGAGGAATGAGCTGGTTCCTGGGCATATGCTGCCTGTCCTTTTATTGGTTTTAGAGCTGGTTAGAGCCCAGAATTCCCATTCTGTGGGAATTCTGAAATGTTGATTTTTTTAAATTTCAAATTAGAACACAATAATAATGATTATTAATGATGATATTAAGAGATGTCATGCATTACATTATGATTTGTTTTGACTTGACATAACAGTTGAAATACTTCATTTATATAATGACATTATGGTATTTTCTATTATCTATCCTTTCCCTAATGTTTCCTAACATTGTTAGCTTTTTTTTGACTGCCACATAAGAACATAAGAACGGCGATACTGGGTCAGACCAAAGGTCCATCTAGCCCAATATCCTGTCTTCTGACAGTGGTCAATGCCAGGTGCCCCAGAGGGAATGAACAGAACAGATAATCATCAAGTGATCCATCCCCTGTCGCCCACTCCCAGCTCCTGGCAAACATCGGCTAGGGATACCATCCCTGCCCATCCTGGCTAATAGCCATTGAAGGACCTATCCTCCGTGAATTTATCTAGTTCTTTTTTGAACTCTGTTATAGTCTTGGTCTTCACAACATCCTCTGGCAAAAAGTTCCACAGGTTGACTGTGTGTTGTGTGAAGAAATACTTCCTTTTGTTTGTTTTAAATCTGCTGCCTATTAATTTCATTTGGTGACCCCTAGTTCGTGTGTTCTGAGAAGGTGTAAGTAACACTTCCTTCTGTACTTTCTCCACACCAGTCATGATTTTCTAGACCTCTATCTTATCCCCCTTTAGTCGTCTCTTTTCCAAGCTGAAAAGTCCCAGTCTTATTAATCACTGCACATTGAACATATGTTTTCAGAGAACTATCCACAATGACTCCAAGATCTCTTTCTTGAGTGGTAACAGCTAATTTAGGCCCCATGATTTTGTATGAATAGTTGGGATTATGTTTTCCATGGTACATTACTTTACACTTATCAATACTGAATTTCATCTGCTATTTTGTTGCCCAGTCACCCAGTTTTGTGAGATCTCTTTGTAACTCTTTGCAGTCCGTTTTGAATTTAGCCATCTTAAGGAATTTTGTGTCATCTGCAAACTTTGCCACTTCAGTGTTTACCCCCTTTTCCATATCATTTCTGAATATGTTGAACAGCACTAGTCCCAATACATATCCTTGGGGGACTTTGCTATTTACCGCTCTACATTTTGAAAACTGACCATTTATTCCTATCCTTTGTTTCCTGTCTTTTACCAGTTTCTCATCCATGAAAGAAGCTTTCCTCTTATCCCATGACTGCCTATTTTGCTTACAAGACTTTGATGATGGACCTTGTCACAGGCTTTCTGAAAGTCTAAGTACACTGTATCAACTGGATCACCCTTGTCCACATGTTTGTTGATCCCCTGAAAGAATTCTAAGAGATAAGTGAGGCATGATTTCCCTTTACAAAAGTCGTGTTGACTCTTCATCAACAAATTGTGCTCATCTATGTGTCTGATAATTCTTTTTAGTATAGTTCCAATCAATTTGCTTGCTACTAAAGTTAGGCTTACCAGCCTGTGATTGCCAGGATCGCCTCTGAAGTCTTTTTTTTTAAAATGGGTGTTACATTAGCTACCTCCAGTCCTCTGGTACAGAGGCTGATTTGAGTGATAGGTTACATATCACAGTCAGCAGTTCTGCAATTTCAAATTTGAGTTCCTTCAGAACTCTTGGGTGAATACCATCTGGTCCTGATGTCTGATTCTATTTAGTTTATCAGTTTGTTCCAAAAGCTCTGCTACTGATACCTCAATCAGTTAGTTTTTTGTGTCTTTAACTAGTTGCTTTTCAAATTCTTTTTTGGCCTAACTAATTACACTTTTTACCCATGACTTGCCAGATGGTCCTCTCGATTATTCTCAGTAGGATCTGACTTCCAATTTTTAAAGGATGCCTTTTTGCCTCTAATCACCTCTTTTACTCTTTTGTTTAGTCATGGTGGCATTTTTTTTTTTTTGGTCCTCTTACTATTTCTTTTTATCTGGGGCATACATTTAATTTAAGTAACCACATGCCTAACCATGCACTGGGGCTGAATCAGGTGTCAGACTAGCTTGCTAGAAAGGGCAACACATGGCTAGGATTCACCAGTTATGAACTATTTATTAACTGTGTGGTGTGTGGACAGGAAGTGAGTTTTAGCTAACCGTGCCCCAAAGCAGTTAAAGGCGGTAAAAGTCACTGTGGAGAGGCCCTTACCTATGCTCTGTAGATCTATAGGGAGTCTATGTTAGTACAGTTTACATGCTGAGGATCTGGAAGAAGATGCAAGTTAAAGTGGTCCCATGCAACATTGAAGGACCTCTCTCATACACATTCTCCCAGCTCCCTGGTGTGTTGGTCACACCCACTTACACCCACTCTACTGCTGAGTAAGGGAGCGTAAATAGATTGGAGGGAGTCCAGATTAGTGTCAATGGGTCTGAGTGAATGTACTGGAGTCTAATTTACACCTCTTTACACATCACTCCTAAATTTGGCCTTTAGACTCTTATCTACCCCTGTCACTTTGTGGAAGTTTCTGTTCATGGTACTGTTCTCCTGAATGTCAGTGGCTAAACATGGACTGTGCTGGCCCTTCTAGGGGGAGGGAAAGGGGAACCTCACAGATACTTTTTCTACATCATTCACCAAGTCTAAGGCATAAGCTCTGCCCTCAGGTGAGTCTCTCTGATTTCAGGCCATGCATGTCCAACAGTAGACTATGCCCCACATGTTTCCTTTGAAAAGAAATAGTGCCCAGGTTATGGGGATGTCAGGATGTTCTCCTCTTCCTGCCATCACCATGGTATGGGAGCCCACCCCCATCTGGTTCAAATGTACTCACAGTTCACAGTGACCCGGACTTGCTTGACATCTGCCGAGGAAACCTCATTGGCGGCTTTGCACTCGTACTTGCCAGATTGCTCCCGTGTGATCCCTAGGATCTCCAGGTACTCTTCCTCACCTTCAAATTCTCTGCCTAGGAGGAGAAAAATACACAGCAGGATGTTATTAGGTGGTGTGGACTTGAGCAGCCCTCACTTTGGTTGTAACATGTGAATGATCATGGCACAATTATCCATGAAACAATGACAGATGGGAGCTACTTGGAGGCTATCTCAGCAACCACAACAGATAGAGCCTTTTTTTTTTTAATGAAAGCTTAGATTCTGGAGAACCAAAAGGATGCGTGAAAGGAGTGCCAAATGCCGAACACCACATACCAGCCCCAACCTAGCCTTGTGGCCAGAATCAGACACATTCATAGAAGCAAAATCTCCAACTTGCAAGGACAGAATTAGTTTAATGACTAGATATTTGAAAACCAAGGGAGGTCAGACAGATTATAATTGGCTCTATGGTAGTCATGACCATCATAAATTGGGACGTATTTTACCTGTAGCCCCCTGACCATGAAAAGTTGTGGAACTGTTTTCTGTCTCAGAAATCGCAAACTTCCAACCCAGACCATCATTGACAAGACTAAGTTTCCTGGAAACACCTGCACACTGAGAAATACGGGCTTTTGGAAAGTAAAATTGAGTCACAGAGACCAATAATCACTGCAACCCTAGCTCTCCATTCCTCAGTTTCTCCATCTGTAAACTGTGGCTAATAATACCCCCCCCCCTCCAAGGAGGGTTGTGAGGTTAACCTATGGAAAGCACATTGAGATCCTTGGATGGAGGTGCAACAGCAGTGTAAAATGTTAGGATTAGTATATCTACACTATCACTCTGGAACCCAAGCTTGGACTCTCCCTAGAAGGATTATGAGCAATGTTGGGCAAAACCATGATGGGAGTATTTTCCTGTCTTAACAGGGTACAAACACTGCTCTGGAGCATGGCTGCAGCAATGTTTACAAACTGCATAGCACAGGCAAACAAACCCAAACCAAAAACCCAATTCTAATCTCACTTTTAAATCATACGGGTCAGATTTTCAGAATAGCTCACTGCCCAGAAGATTTCATTGTTGTCAATGGGGACTAATGGGGGCTGAGATCTTTTGAAAATCTGGCCTTTTCATTTAAGTGGCTGAATGGGATCTGAGCTCTTTTCATAGTCTGACCCCATCTGTGGGTGGGCAGCTCCTCTGAAAATCCATCCCTGAGTTGCTGGATGTGCTTCAAATACTGTCTGTGTGGACTGGGCATTAGTCCCTGGCTCACAAAGTCCTGAGTGGCAGTAGCAGCTAAGCCCACTCTCAGGGGCTCCAGTTCCAGTGATATTCCCTAGAGTGGCAGAACCGTGCCAGTCCACAGGCATATGTTTTCTGTGGCATATTAGCCAAAGCAAGTTAGCCAGATCAGATTAGCCAAGCACACTGGAGGATGAACACAGGGCACCAGCCAGATTCTCTTTGCTTTAGATCAGGGATAGGGACTTTGGGAACTGATAAATCTCTGTTCAGGATTCTGTCCCTTGCACTACCACTCTTAGTTCTTGTTTTTCCTGCACTCATCAAAATCCCCCAATGGGTAAAATCATCCCCAGACTTGGCAACTCAGTATTCAAAGAGGAGCTGCCATGCCACATATGGTGAATGAATGCTTCCAAAGTGAATAAGCTTTCCTCTTCTATTCAGAGATGGGCAGACCCAAAACCCAGATCCAAACGCTCCCATATTTCTGATGAATTTGAATCTAACACCACTGTGTCCCAAACCACTATCTGCTTTTGTGTAAGTCTGCGTTTTACCTTCAGGACCTACTAGCACAGATGCAGAAAGGTCTAGTGCTCTGCTGCATGACCTGCTTTTATAGGGGTAGGGTACACTATTAAACAAAGAGGGAATACGGTCCACCCTACTGCACTGCAGGAGTCACCGTGACACCGCTCCCAATAGTGCGCAGGTGAAGAAGTTAGGAACAACATTCTGGTGGCAAGGCCCTTTGGGTGGGATTTTCACAAGTGCTCATCATTGACCTAAGTCTGCTCCCATTGACATGAATGGAAGCAGCATTAGGCCAATGCTAAGGTGCTCCTGAAAATCCCACCTAGAGTCAGAACGCACTCCATTTATCGCAGCATTGGCAGCTCCTGACTACTAGATGCTGAGCAGGGGACGTTAATCTGCCACCACAGCAGATCTTAATAAACCAAAGACTAAAAAATAATTTGCCAGGGCACAGTTGCTCTGCTCTCATCGTGTTAGCATAATGGGTTGGACCCACTTTTCTTACAAGGGGTGGGAGGGGGCACTGAGCAGGTGCTCGTCAAAATGCTGTCACCAAACTGAAGGGACAGTTGGGGGAAGATTTCCTAGCCTCTGATGGAGTCGCCGCCTCTTTGGGTGCTGCTAAACCTGCCTGCTGGAAACAACATATCCTTGGAGCTCTGAAAAATATTCTGGAAGAGAAAATATTTTGCCAGGTTTCCCAGAGAAAGAATCTTCTGGGCTCCTCACAACATCTCGCTCTCTCTCTCACACACACACAAATAAACAGAAGGAACACTGAGCCATCAACAGGCCCAGGAGTACTTTCAGGAACAACACATAATCCTTTCCAGCAAAGTGGGGATGAAGAGCAGTCGGTTTGCAGTACAGCAAATGGGTAGATCTACCCAGCCCCTCAGTCTTCCTTCCTGTAGCCTACGCATCCCTGGGGCATGGGGTTTAGCACACTGCTTGGGGGGGAACATTTTCTGGGAACTCCTTGCTAAAATGTTGTCAGTTCTATCACTGCCCTCTCCTTCTATGCCAGTTTCATCTCTGAGCGGCAATGTTTTGCTCCATAAACTTAATTACTCTGAACTGCAATCCCAACCGCTCCCTTCTGCTGCAGCCATGTCCCCTACCATGGTAGAAAGTTTTTAAAAAGAGCATTTCTGTAAAGTGTGATGTCAAATCACAGGAATGAGAGATAGCAAAAACACAACACGGCATCGTAACAGGAGGTCAGGTTCTAGTCTCTGGAACACAGCGACCGTGGCAGCCTGACAAAGAGGACCCATCCGCTTAACTCCAACCTCTAAAAGTTGTTGGAGAGTCTCTCTCTGAGGCAGAGGCAACTAAAGTCAGTGACAGGGAGAAAATCTAGAAACGGTCTAGCTCAGCAGCAAGCACTGGCAGGATGTTTAGGTTTGTTACAGTCCACGTTAAGCCTAGAGGAAGGGGGTAAGTGTGGACACTATCCAGTGGTGTGGTTTACTGATGTGCGTGCTGTGTTAGGAGATGGCGGAAATGCCATCTGCTCACAGGAATCTAGTCCACTCTCATTAGGACAAGAGGGTTCCCTGCAGCATATTCTCCCAGGAGTGAAATCACAATCCCATTAAAGTCAATGGCAAAACTCACCCATCTCACCCCAGATTTTTGTCTGGTTCAGGTTTAAATGTTCCCAGTGATGGGGTTTCATAGAATCATAGACTTTAAGGTCAGAAGGGACCACTATGATCATCTAGTCTAGCCCCTCCTGTTGGCCAGCCCCAGGATCAGGCTTTCTATTCTGGAGACTGGAGAGAGAGAGAGAGTGGGGGGTGGTCAGGCTTAACAATTAAACCAATGGTGAAAGAATCGGAGAGTGCCAGGTGCCTGCTGGGAGCTGGTGGAGGCCCTTCTGCACAGGTATGTGCTGCAGATAGCTTTGATGTGTGAACGTGGAAGCCTTTGAAAGTGCTCTCACTTCAGCCATGTCTGCTCTCCCCTTGCTTGCTAGCCACACCTGCTAGAGCAGCTGAACCCCCCCCCCCATCTTACACAATAGTCTGCTTACAAACACCACCACCACACGTGTGAGGGCACACATGCACACACACCAAAACAGAGTGTACAATCCTGCACTCAGAAGCACACTCACACTCTTCATACCAACACAGACACCCACATCTTCTGACCCTCACACCTCCCTTCTTAAGCCTATTTAAGTACACAGAAGCACAAATATACATATACATCCCCCACATTCATATATGCACTCTTCCACCCCCGACTGCCACACACACACCCTCATACACTTACATATATTCACATGCACATATCCTACTTATGCACACACAAAAGCTTCTCTTTCTTTCCACACTTTACCAGTCATTTCACAAATCCCCCCCGCTCTCTCTCACACACACACGTGCATACACACACATTCTATGAATATACAGAGTATTCAGATAACATTGGAAATGGTGTCATTTTTAGCTGTGTACTGTAACAGGTATGTCTTGGTTTACCATGTACTGGAGCCTCAAGTTTCTAAAGACTAAGCGGCCATTTTGCATTCTGTTCAATGCAGACTGTACAAGAGAAGGCACATACACTGTGCTCTCTCTCTCATCCAGACTTGACTTCGGTTCTTTTGTAGTATTGTGTTCTTAAACTAAAATAAAGTTCATTCGCGCTGAAAGTATCTGTTTGCATTTTGTGTATGGAGAAACATAACAGGGACCCTGCTGCTTTGTTTATTTTCTTCAAACCCCTTTTGTAGTTGTGTGGCATGGAGAGCAGAAGGGGCTCTGGGATGATGTTGGGCACCTTCTACCTAAAACAAGATGCAGAGAGGATAAAAAGATTTCACATCAAAAGATGCCATTTGAAGTTTTTTTGCGGCGACTTCCAATGCTGAATTGAGGTTTCTTTTCTCTCTGCACTTTTCATTTATTGTCTAAGGTCTCACTCACCTAACTCCCTTCCCCCCTCTGCACCTTACATTCCCCAGGAAGATACTTCTGAAAAACAAAAATAGCTAAGGGAGCCTTTGACATTGTTTTCTTGTTTTACCTCCAGCTGGGATTTTTTTTTATTTGAAACTTTGAAGCTTTTGTTTATCAGCCTTCGCCTCCTCACCCACTGCAGATTCCTCTGAGGTTGGCATTTTTATCTGTCCCCTAGCTGAAGAGACTTGTTTTCGGTAAAGAGATCAGTGGAGAGTGGCAGATGGTGTATGAGTAAAGGGACAGCCTGTGCTGCAATGCTACTGAGAGAAGGGAAGATAGAAAGTTACCATGGCATGGGAGATAGGAAACATGAGGAAGCTGGG